AAAACATAGTTTCTAGACTAAAATGAAATCAAGGTGATAGTTAATAGACTAAAAATTGAATTAAGCCATTGTTTTTAGAACAAAGACTTTTTTCATTCTTCTTTTGAAAATATTTCACAATTGGCTCACAATCTATTCTTATTGTAAAAGTATCATTTTGTATAAAAAGTTTAAAAGAATTTAAACCATTTATTACTCTTAATATTTAAAAATCAAGTGATATTAAAAAATTTTTACCTTCTCTATATAATCCACTAGAATATCTGCAAATCTTTTCATCTTTTTGAAAAGAAAATTTATTGGGCGTAACTAACAAAATTGCTTACCATCCTTCACTACTATTATAGGTTTCAACTATTTTGTAGTCTGATTCCAATGGTAGAGTTAGAGAGAGTAAATTTTTAACTTCATCTTTAATCCTTTTTACAAGTTTGATGTCCTCACTATTGAAAAACTTTTGTCCTTTGGGACTAAGTTTTGCATATAATGGTTCAATCAATTTAGATAAATCTTTTATACACACAAATATAATTAAGTATGCCTAAGAATTTTTTAAGTTCTTTTGTTTCCTCGATCTTGTCAAGAAATTTAAGAATCTTCTTAACTATGTGATCTTGTAATTGAATTTTTCCCTGTCCAATTCTCATTCCTAAAAATTAAATGTACTCTTTGGAGAGTTCCGTCTTCTTTTTAGAAGTTATAAGATCATTTTTCAAGAATTCAGTGAAAACAATTTGGGGATGTTTGATATGCTCAGTCTTAGTTTTGCTAAAGACAAGAATATCATCCATAAAGGCCAAAACAAAATCAAAATATTTTTTGAATATCTAATCTATGTTTCTTTGGAATATGAAAAGTGCATTTTTCAATCCAAACGACATGACTTACCATTTGAAATGTCTTACCATTTGAAATGTCCTTTGGGACAAGTGAAGGCAGTCCACAAAATAGATTCTTTTTCCATTTCGATCTACCAGAATTCTTTTTTCTCCTGAGGAGGAGATTGTTGTGGTTTATGTGTATGAAATTTAGCTTGAGCCTCCCTTAGGTTCAAGGGAAAGGACTGGGAAACTTCTTGATGCAATTAATTTAACTTATTGCTAGAAAGCTTATTTCAATCTTTGTCTCTTTTTATATTAAATCGAATTAAATTTGATTTCCTTGAGTTTTCATCATTTTTGTAGAATCAATGGCTGCTATGATGTTAACTATTCAGAAAGCAAACTTTTTGGCTACAAATTTTTACAAAAGCAAGCCGAGGTAATCAGAATTTATTCTAGCAAATGAATATGGAAATATTTTTTGGAACCTTAATGAAATAATTATGATCATTTTGTGGAGCATAAGTGCTTCATTGAGTATATGGGATTTTAGATAGAGCCATAATGCATTTCTAGAGCAATATCATGGTTATCTCTTGTGTGTATCGCATTTTCTTTTAAGTATATCTCTAACAAAACAGCTGCAACTCATCCCCTTTCGTTGGAAAAATGAAGTTGAGGGAAGAGAAAAATGAGCTCTTTTGGGAAAAGCAAAGCAGAGGGTTATGGTATGTTATGTTTTGCACTACGAATTTGATTAAAAGGGAATTTGAAATTTTCTTCGTTAAATTTTCATATTGAATAGGAATTTGATTAGAGTATGATAAAGATATAAAGTCCTATTGGATGCAAATACCATATTTCATGTTTAAAATTAGATTTATTTATTTTTTGTCAATGAAATTAGTAAAGGATTCTCCATGGACTAAATGCATTGTTTTTGCCTTTATTGGCACATTTTCTATGAAATTTAAATTAGTCTGATTGATAAAATTATGTGCATGTTTTGTTTGAGGTTTGTCCTTTGACAAACCATATGTGCATATTCTTGAATACCCGAACTTGATTGATACGTATGGTTTGATGGCTTCTTCTTTAGTTACTCCTGCAATATCTGAAGAATTTAAAGCAAGACAAACTATAGATGAGATTGACAATAAAGATTGTGTGAATTTTGACATAAACGCATTGATGATACATAGGGGTTTATTCTGATGTGGTTAGGATGAATTCTATAATGTCAAAACCAAATTAAATTTTGTATGGACAAATTGGTATACTTGATGTGGTTTTGGCAAACCGTCAACATTTTTGGTAGCATTTTGTGTAGCAAAGAGGCAGCACTATGTATAGGCAAAAAGATAACATTATGGTAGCATTTTGGATGATATGATGCATAATCTATCATTTTCTCATTTCTATACCATATGCTGATTTGTTATTCTCATAACATGTGCAAAACCTAGACAGTTTGCATTCAAGACCAAATTAAATTTCTATTTCAAAATAATAGTATTACATAAGTCATTTTGAGGAACAAATAGCCTTCAATACAAAGCAACTGTTAGTGTAAAGAAAAGATGCCCATACGCAAACTATCAAAATTAACTCAATTACAACAAAGATCAAGTTGCCAATACAAAATCCATTCAAAGAACTCATTTTCTTCTTTTCTTTCCGTTCCCTTCCTTGGTCAACTTATGTTTCATATGCTCCAACCACACTTCAACTCTTTAATGGCATTAATCAAGCAACAAAAAATAAAATCAAAAATCAAAAAACAGGGTGACTTGGATCTTCCATCCTCCTATACACAGTTGTCCATTTATTATCATAGATCCTGTGAGCTTCCATCAGCCTCTCCTAATCTTTTTCTGTAAAAGCTCACGTCGATCCTTAGATCCAATTGATTAAACCATCTCAGCTTGCAACTCTTACCTGAAAATCCAAAACCAAATTGTTTCCCTTCTCTATGTGCATGATTCCAAGAGTCTTGTATTCATGTAATTAGAGATATACTTAATGAAAATGCGATGCACACAAGAGACAACCATGATATTGCTCTAGGAATGCATTATAGCTCTGTCTAAAATCCCATATACTCAACGAAGCACTTAAGTTGTGCTTTTAAGTTTTAACCACAAAATGGTCAGCTCCAAAAACTATTTCCATATTCATTTGCTAGAATAAATTTTGATTACCCCGGGTTGCATTTGTAAAAATTTGCAGCCAAAATGTTTGCTTTCTGAACAGTTAACATCATAGACCCATTGATTCTACAAAAAAGATAAAACTCAAGGAAATCAAATTCAATCCAATTTAAGATAAAAAAGCGGCAACCATTGAAATAAGCTTTCCAGCAATAAGTTAAATTAATTGCATCAAGAACTTTCCAAGTACTTTCCCTTGAACCTAATGGAGGCTCAAGCTAAATTTCATACACATAAAGCACAGCAATCTCCTCCTCAAGAGTAAAAAGATACTGTACAAACCCCACCATGGTTCCCCCGTCCCACCTTCATTTACAAATCGAACCCTAGGCACTCTTTGATACCGAATAGGTGGGAGAACACCATTGAGAAGAAGTCTTTGAGCAGTCGACTGGAAGAAGAGCAATCATGTTGGAGAAGAGGGACACAGTCTATCGGATTCCAACAATGAAGAAAAGGGTTATGATTGCGAAGAGATAAAGAGGAATGAGGGCTTTTCCTGGATAAAAAAAAAAGAACAACATCTTTTTTTTATAGCGCTAACTATAATTTTCTTTACCATTCATACTGAAAAATAGTTCTATGTAGTTATAAATTAAAATTAATATTTATATTTTTTATATAAATTAATTATAAAAAATATATAATAAATATATTTTTAACTTTTATCATAAGAGTACAGTATATAAAAATTCATTTAAAAATAGTTGGTGTAATATATTAGTTGATGAAATAATAACTCATTAAATAATATGATATTTTTTACTCTAGCAATAATTACTTTATAAATATAATATAACCATCATTTAAATTTAAATATTACCGTATTAATTATTATTAGTAATTAATTACTACTAAAAAAAGAAAGAAATAGAAATGTTGCAAGAACGTCCAAAAAAAAAAAAACCACGTTCCAGTAGTTCTAGGAAAAAAAAAAGGCGTTGCCAACAAAATGTATAGGTGTAATATATTAATAAATTTGTCTAATATATGTCTTTAAGATATATAATAAAAATGTAATAAATATATTTTTATAATTAATTTATATAAAAAAATTATAAAAGTTGACATTTATTTTAGGTTAAAATTTTTTTTTGGTCCTTGAATTATTGTACGGACTTTCGATTTGGTCCTTGAACTAAAAAAATCCCTAATTTGGTCCTTACTGTTTACCATTTTTACCCCGATTTGGTCTTTCCGTTAAAATTTCATCGTTATCTCACGACAATTTAATGACATGTCAAACATTTGTGACACGTCAGTTATATAAATGAATAAATAATGACATGACAACGTGACATGTCATGTTTTTGCCCAACCCAACAAAAGTAGAGCCCACCTAAATTACAAATTTGCCATCATCTTCTTCCTCCAGCAAACAAACCCAACACCTGAGTTGAATCGAACCCAACAACTCCCTTTTTTTTTCCTTCCTCTTCCTTCCCTTGCTTTCTTCATCATCATCAAACAACCAAAACCACAGAAAATATATATATATATATTTTTACCTTTGGGTTCGAGGAATCCAAGTGTGCTGGGTTCTTCGAACCCACGCCTGGGTTCGACGGAACCTAGTGTTGGGTTCCATGGAACCCAACGGCGCAAACCAGTTGGGTTCGAAGAACCCAGGCTTAGGTTCCTTGGAACCCAACGCTTGGGTTCCGTCAAACCCGAGGTTGGGTTCCATGGAACCCAGCTGGTTCGTCACTGGGTTCTTTGGAACCTAGGCCTGGGTTCCATGGAACCCAGCGACGAACCAGTTGGGTTCGAAGAACCCAGGCGTGGGTTCGAAGAACCCAGGCGTGGGTTCGAAGAACCCAGGCGTGGGTTCGAAGAACCCAGGCGTGGGTTCGAGGGAACCCAGCACCTAGGTTCCAAGGAACCTAACCCAAGCAAGCGTGCTGGGTTCAGTTCCTTGCGAACCCAGCACCTGGGTTCGCAAGGAACCCAGCGCCTGGGTGGGTTCGAAGGAACCTAGGCCTGTTGGGTTCCGAGGGGAAAGAGAAGGGAAAGGGGAAGGAGAAAGAGAAAGGGAAAGGAGAAGGAGAAAGAAAAAAGAAAAAAAGAAAAAAGAAAAAAGAAAAAAATTTTTAAGTTTTATTTTTCATAATATTTTTTTATATTATTATTTTTTCCACATCATCACTTTTTGGCTATATTATCTTCCACGTGGATTACTATATGACATGTCATTTGCTAATCGTGAAGTAACATGCCACGTCACACAATTTGTAACGGAGGGACCAAATCAGGGTAAAAATGGTAAACAGTAGGGATCAAATCAGAGATTTTTTTAGTTTAGGGACCAAATCGGGGGTTCGTACAATAGTTCAGGGACCAAAAAGGGGTTTTGACCTTTATTTTAATGTTACTTACACATGATTAATTTTAATTGATTAATTAATTAAATAAAAATCAATATTTATACTTTCAATAAAAATTAATTATAAAAAAATATATTTATTATACTTTTAATCTGTATTTTAATAGAAGAGGTTAAAAAACCTTATATTAATTGATGTTATAATAACTCATTAAATTGTATGGTATTTTTGACTCTAACAATAATTTAATTTAAAAACATTTTTAGAAAGATTAAGTTAAAGGTGCAATTATTATATCTTTTTCACCTTAATTAGCATTAAAAATATAAAAATTATTATTAATTTCATCAAAAGTGTTATGTAAATCATTTTAATTGGACAATTATATAAATAAAGATCAATTTTTATTTTTTTAATGCTAATTAATATAAAAATAGGCACAAATTAAAAAAAAAAAAATCCTTAGTCATAATAATTAACTTCAAAATTTTAATTTGTTAACAATTTAGCATAAAAAAACAAAGTTTTTTTCAATCTACTAGTAAGATGGACTTTAAATGCTAAATAAAAAATTTTACCTAACTCTAAATATTTAGCAATTGATAAAAAAAATTTATCAAACACTATTACTTAACACTTTATATAACAATTTGAATAAAATTGCCAATTATTAATTTTGAACCACAATATCAAACAATCCATATATAATTGCATATGAAACAAAAAGGCTGAGCTGAAGAAACAAGAAGCTTGCTCTAAGATTTTTGACAAATTAACTACCGTTTCTGGATGGCTTGTCCCGGTCGCAAAGAAAAGTAGATTCTAGATAAAAAGAATACTTCTTTTGAAAATGTTGTTCAATTATGCAGTACAGATTCAAATTTTTTGGAAATCAAAATGATTGGCTTAAGGGTAAAGAAACTAGAGTATAAGATTCTTGCTTTCATTTTCACTCTACGCTACTACTCTCATAATATGACTTTCTTTCCTCAAGTCCCAGTGTCCCACACATCACCCCCTGCATTCGATATGTCATGCTCCAAAGAAAATATGATGGTAAGTATATAATTACAGAATGGGAAATAACAGAGTTTATGATCTGTTTAGTCTTTTGCTATGATGACATGGTTTAAGTAGCTAAGAATAGATAGCTTCTAGTGTGGAGAACTACTCATAATTTTATACATGATTTTTTTTTTCGAACCCCTAAGAAATAATTTGATACATGATTGAGACAAAAGAAATGTAATAGTTTTATGCTATCCATTGCTATGCATATAATTTAAGCAGCATGACTCACTGATGGCAAAATACTACAACCATCTGTACTTTCCTCAGGCACAATTGGGTGGAGTCCAATGATTCTTGGGGATTTTGCTAAAAAGCAACCCAGAAAGCAGAACTAAATACACTCTTTAAGTTTTACCTGTAAGCATTAATAAGGCCTATATTTTTTCGAAGAACAAAGAAGCTACGCATTATTAAGCCTACCTCAATCCTCAAGATTCTGTCAGTATTATCCCCAGTGGTAAGCCAATTAAAGGACAAATTATTTTAACAAAGAGATCACAAAACCAAACCAAGTATGGCATAATTTACAGCTAACTACTCCTTTACTATTGTGTATCATGCTACAAGCTTATAACTGTCTGAGTATAATGCCTAAAAATTCAAAAAGGATGAAATCTTACAATCCAAAAGAAGAAAATAGATTTATGGGTGGAATCAAATATAAATACAGCAGCAATAGTATTCACAGAAAAAAAAAAAAAAAGAAATCAATATTTACTTATATTATCTTTATTTGTTTCTTTTAAAGTACGCAACAGCATAGCAGATAAGGGGCACAAACTGAAATGCAACACAAAGGTGTAGGTGAAAGTGGATGAAGATGAGTTACTTTTCTTACTCTAACATATTTTCTTATATCAGTTTTAAAAAAGGAAAATGGACTAAAACATGTAAACAGAGGGAGTGCAAGAAGACAATTAGTAGTAACTTGTAGAAGCCAGCAAATTGGATTATCTTATTCCATATAGCAGCTAGTGTGTTGAATTACATATAAAAGGTAGAAATTGAAATATGGTATAGGGGTGAAAATGAAACAGAGATGAAGACAGTTATTTCCCTTCACTTCCTTATGTAAGGTGGAAATTTTGATGCATCGAGAAAACCATTTTGGCGCTTCTCACGTACCCTCCTGATGTAGTCAGTAAACATTTCATCACTTTCATATTCCACTCGATGAATGGAGATTGAAGCTTCATTCTCAACTACTGGCTGCATCAAGATTGAAATGGGATTTGAGATGATCTGTGGCTTTTCTAACCTCTGGCTCCCAACAGATTGAGGCCGTAGTAGTTTATCTGAAACAGAGTTTGGTGCAGGTGCAGGAGTTTTGGTCCCAGTTGGTCCAGACACTTTCATGATGCTCACCACCATCTTCATTGATTTTACACACAGAGACTTGTTAACGAACTGAGTATATATAAAACATAGAATACCTTTGAAGGAACCGGAGAATTTTTTGGCTATTCCATTTGGTTTTGGTTTAATCCAGACGTTCCGTTTTCTTCAAAAAAAAAAAAAAAAAAGAAAAGGAAAAGGCAAGACCAACCCTCTTCAGCAAGTGGGTCCCTTTCTTATTCTATGACTAAGATCCTTTTCTATAAGCTGAGCTTTGACAGGGGAAGCTAAAGAATCTTGCAACCTGACCTATCAATGTGCAACATGTGTCACATACATGGCAAATTAAAGATGGCTCTACATTTCTTATAAACACATTTCCCAAGATTCCAAGGCAATCATTATAGTATAATGATTAACATAATTCACACGGAAAAAAAAACATGCTTGCGTCTTGTTTTAAATTGATGCAAAACCCATCTCATGCCATGGAGATGGAAGCTAAGTACAGGTAAATAACGATGAGGATCTGGTGACCAGTAATTTTACTAAGGCCATCCATTTTACTTGTAATTTTAGTTATTTATAATTCTATTTTTAGATAATTCATTATGATATTTAAAAATATCTATTTGTAAATTTATTTTAATTTATTAAATAATAAATATTAACTGTCTTATTAGTTATTAGTTATTTTTAACAATTAAATTAAATCAAGATTTTGACAGATTTGGTGACCCTAACAAAATTAATGGTGACCATAATCATATCCAATTAACAGAGATAAAGATGATATCATGCATGCTTCTTTTTAAGTGGAACATTATTCTTCAACACTACTTTCCACTATGTCCTCTTTGGAGGGTTCTCTTAGATATTTATCAATTGCCTGTGTTGGGCTGTGTCACACCCCTGTGATTATAGTTTCAAACAGCTTCTTTTTCTTCTCAAGCCTCCTAAAGATAAAAAAAGGCGTTTCCCCAAAAGTCTTTCCTTTGGCTACCTCATGGCAGACGTGCTTAGGTGTGTCACTTGTTTTGTAGCAAAAGAAAGAAAATGACTTCTTTGTTGACCCTCTTCTTTCAAGCAATCTACCTCCAAGTTGAATGACTAGAAGAACGTCAATTTAATAAAGAGATGTGCCTAGACCAAACAATTGCTAAGAAGGAAGGATGTTTTCTTGCACAAATGGATTAAAAATAATGCCATAAAAATCATCAAGGACTTCCCACATCAAGGCCTCATCAAGTGTGTTTGTTGGTGAGGAAGATAGACACAACAACTAAAAGGAAATTAAAGGCATAATAACTAAAAGACAAACGAAAGCTAAAAAATGCTATGAAACATACCTAAAACACATACTTGACTAAAGGGATGACAAACCTACACATCAATTAAGAATTAAGTAGACTAATGAACTATACTTGCAAACTAAACATAAACTCACAAATGAATAAGAAAAGATACATTACAAGCGAGATTATTCTACTTGCAAATTAGATAATAGAAACTTAAAGGAGAGATGAAAGTAAATAAGAATTTTGAAGTATAAAGAAATACGATTTCATTAACATAACTTAAAAACAATTATAAAACTCAAATCAACTACAATATTAAATCTGGAATTTAATATTAACAAATTTGTAGACTAAGTCCACGAAAAGAACCTAAGAAGGCTAAGAATATACAATGATTATAAAAAAAACATGAGAACATGTCTCTAATAGCAGAAACTAAGTGAATTAGAATAAAATTACAAAAGCTAACCAAGAAACCAAGTAAGATTTGGTCTTAAAGCTTTGACTCGAAAATCATGCTGTAGATTTGCTTGGTTTTAGAAATTCTTAAGTTGGGCAAACCTCCAACAAAACAAAAAGTCCAAACTAAAGCTATGAAAAAGAATCAACTTTCTAATCACAATTTGAAAATCTATGCTGAAGGCTGGTTGATCAAATCTGGAATTGAAACTGATTTGGAATTGAAATTGCAGCACGTTAGACATTTTTTTGAGAGGCACTGGCCTTAAAATTAATTTCTATCAAAGGAGGTGCTTTTACCTTACTGCTAGAGGTTTTTCCATGTTTTGCAATCCATTTTTCACCACTTTTATGCACGTCTGGCTTCTTCTCTGTTTTGGCAGTAGTAGTTTCTTATTTTTACTCCAAGTTTACCAGTTGTATTTGACCTGTTTATAAACTCTAAATAACCCTAGCATGATCTCCTCCTAAAATTTCTCTTAATCACCTGACTCAAATAAAATTTGATTAAAGAAAGAGATATGCATCTTATCTTGCCAAGTGGGACCCCACCTCCATGCCATCTTTGGTATGGGCTGTGGACTGCACCAGATTAGGCTTTGAATCAGCTACAACTTGGTGACATGGCACATCTCAAACCAACTATAGAGCCCCCAATAGTAACTGCAATTTGGATTGTAGGAAAACTAATTTCAAACTGGTTGGTAAATCCTGTTGATGTGGCAATTCTATATTGGGTGTTATTTATAGTCTAAACAATGCCCCCCAACACCTTACTTCACGACCTTAAGGGAGTTGGAGTGAGGTGTTTGCATACTTTGTTCTTAGAATTCAATCTGCAACATAGCTGCACTTCACAAAAGCAGTAGAGACAAACAACAGATTTGGAGAAGATAGCCAACTAAGCCTCTAAAAAAGATCATGTTCTGCAGACAAATGATTGGAACTTTCCAAGTTGGTAAACTTTGATCACAACCCCTAACCCTAGGCCGCTCTATCTCCAAAGTTAACATTTATAATAGCAACTTAAAAGAAACAACTAAATTCAAAGTTACCTCCACCTAAACTTGACTTAGGTAGAAGTATAGATTTCCTCCACTTCAATGTGTGATATGATGATGTGTTAGAATCACTCTATCAAGTGTGTTAGTTGCTTCAAGTAATATAATAATGAAAAAAGTATCGAACCCACAAGAATTGTAATTAACTAAATACCAAAAATGATTAATTTAGATTTATTTGAACAATATAAAAGGAAGGAACTTTAATTAAAAATAATAAGAAGAAAATAACAATTAAAATAAAGCTAACCAAGATACGAGATGTGAAAGCATTGACTTCATCATAATCAATCAATATAAATTATGGATTAATATACTTCCAAAACCAAGTTTTTGAGTGTTGTTGCATATGATAGCAGATTTCCTTAAATTAATTAACTAATTTTCTCAAATCAAGTTGATTCTTCACTTATTTGTTAAATTAATTATATTTTTATGTAATTTGAAATAAACTAACGAGCATTAAGTAATGCGGAAACCTTTAGTTTAAGAAGGGGGAGGTCCTAACTCTGTTTTCTTCCTCCACTACTATATGTGATGCTAATCAACTCTCGCTTTCATAATCTAACACACGATTAATGTTATCATTGGTCTAATTTATGCAGTTTTTTCTCATCAAATTTATACATAAATCATTAAATCAATTGAAATGTGATAAAACTTTTGAAGCATTAAATATAATAATAAAAACTCATCATGTAAATAATTTTAAATGAAAGCATAAAAATCGCAAAATTTATACTAAATTGATTAAGTTACATGGTTTTAGTAGACCAAATTAGTTCATATTAAAAATAATAAAATTTAAAATCATAATTATAAATATAATATAAATATAATAATATCAAATAATAGATAAAAATAATTTAAGAAAAAATAAAACTTAATTTGAATAAATTGAAATTTTTTATTTTTTATTATTGATGAATTTTTTATTTTAATCTCTAAAAATACACAAAAGAGAGCTGATACCAACCTCAAATGCCCTTTTATTTCTGAATTTAAATAAGTATTTATAAGAATTTAGAAATTTTAATTAAAACATACACAAGACCCATAGGGCCCACAAAAAATATTAAAGACCTATAAACACCCTAAAGAAGGTGCTGACACCCTCGCTGTATCAGCCCGAAAGTGTCCGTGTCAAGATTTTGGTCCTTAAAGTAATTTTGGTTAATGGTAAAATAACAATCCTAGTCTCTAACTTTTGAATTCCATGAAATCTAATCCTTAGCTTTATGATTTCTGCAATTTGGTGCTAAAAGTTATGAGTTCTTCCAAGTAAGTTCTTTCCTTTACAAATAATGAAAATTATATAAAATCAAATAAAATCGTATAAAACTCATCCAAATATCAATAATATCAAATAAAAATTTTACATTTATATGTATATAAATTCAACTCATCATATGACTTATAAATCGAATGATGATATGGGTTAAAATGCAAGCCATTTATTCTCGTAAGGTGCACACCACCATCAAGATTTCATAGCAAGTAAGTGTCTCCATGTAGCTACTTTTAAATATGGAATTTGTCCTTTTTTTTTAGTAGACCATCTTTCAGACTTCAAGTCTTGTCTACCAGGTAAAGTAGCTATTTGGTATAAAACTCTTGGAACCACCTTTTCCAACTCTCTTCTTTTGTTTTTCTTTCCAGACTTGACTGTCGAGTTCTAATCTAACACTCTGCTACTAAAAGCCTTGTTGTGTTGGTCTATTTTGACAACCCAAGGGAAGGTTGGAATTGAACAAGTCTGATAGTAAGATTAAAATTGAATTGTTTGGCCATCACTGTTAAACTTCTTAATGATTTTGGCTCTTTTTGCTTGAGTGAAACTCGCTTGGCAGACTTTTGGACTGTAATATCTAGCTATGGATGACGCTGGAGTAAAACCTTGGGTGAGGTCTAGACTATAGCATCCAACTTCTCTTTCTCCACCTAGGTTAGCTTCCCTTTAACTAATGGTTCCTACTTCTGAGAAGCTTGCACCACGTTTGCAACCTTCCTTCGATGCTCATTAGCCTTTTTTTTTTTCTCTTTTTTTTTTTTTTTGCAATCTTCTCTAGAGAGTTATGGGATTTTGGGTTAGGAAATTTGGGAGGGATATTGACTTCATCATTTTGGGCTAGAAAACTTGGTTGTCAGACTATACCTTTGATTCTGCAAATTGGAGTAAGGCCTGGTCCACCATTACACCATGCCTTGTCTGGGTGAAATGGTTATGTTGAGTTTGATGCTTTCTCCCATTCTTTGGTGACCAATGATTAGAAGTCCACTTTCTTTTGAAAGATAAGTAACCTTGAGGTTTAAAGAAATTCCTTAGCTCAGCCATTTCATTATTAGGTCTGTAGCAAGTTGGACAAGCTTTAGGCCATGGACATAGTCTCTAAGTCTTTCGACTGATATCTAGAAACTACTTTGTTTGATGTTGGTCTGCAATCTAGGCTTATAAACTCTACTGATCAATCATAATTGGTTGCCCCTCAAGAGCGGAAGGAAAACTACTGTCTATACTTCCAGATTCTGACTTGTCTGTAAGCCTACACCCATGAACTTTAGTCTAGGTTACCTAGCATTGTTGGTCTTGGCAAGAACTTCAACCAACATGCTGGTTCTACAAACCCAAGTGTTGATGGAGGATTGATGTCTGTACTCTCAACATCTAGTTGATATAGAGTTTCATAACCATGATCTTTCTCCTAGTTTGGCTAGCGTTGCTGGTTTTATGAGTGGTTTTGACCAACATGCTCAAACTTCATTTGATGCGCCTCCAGTGTGTCAATAGGATATTCTTTCGACCATTGTATTGTCTGATGTACAATTCTAGAAGTTGACTGGTTTGTTACATTCTATTGTTCACGTAATCGCTTCTCGAAGTCAAATAAAATTGTTTCTAATTCTCTTAGATATTTAGAAGCAAAATTATATCAAACCTTTATTGTTGTTTGCAGGCTCAATCAATCTCCTTCTACCTTTCCACCAACTCTACATCTTTGTTTGCGTCTTTCACGTCCTTACCTAGGTCTAGATTCTCAGAAAAGGTGGATGTAGACTTAGTAGGGACCAACTAAAGTTCTTCTTGCAGACTTTTTACATCAAAATCTCGCAAACATTGGGAAAAAGCAAGTTAGCATAAATCAGTTTGGACATCATAGGATTCATGAACAGTATACATCCAAGACTGATGCTATCATAATTGTTAGCCTAGTATCCAACATTTTTTTCCAGATCTAGCTGATATTGCTAGTTATAAGACAAACCATGATTAACAAACAAAAATTGAGATTCATGCCCCCTGTGTCTACAAATTGAATTACTTTGAAATGTGGAGGCATATGATGGATCTAGATATTCATAGGTTGATTGTGGTAAACCAAAACCATGGCTAGCAAACTAATGGTAAGAAGAATCATTGTTCAAAGGCAACCTTCCAAATTCATTAGCAGCATAAGAGTCTTCCCAAGCCATGCCAAAGTTTTGTTGTTTATAAAGCCAAAGAAAACACACTTTGAAACCCAAGGTGTGTCCTACTCAACGTGTCAAAAAGAGATTGTTTCCCCAAAAATCCTCCTTTTGGCTACCTCGTGACGGATGTGCTTGAGCGTGCCACCTATTTTGTAGCAAAAGCAAAAAAAAAAAAACTTTCTTGATGACTCTTTTATCTAAGCGATCAACCTCTAAGTTGGATGGCTATGAAAATCTTAACTTAATAAAGAGATGCACCCTAGACTAGACAATTAGTAGGAAGGAGGGATGCTTTCCTACACAAATGTGTTAAAAATAATGCCTTGGAAAATTATCATAGACTTCCCACATCAAAGGTTAATCAAGTGTGTTTGTTGGTAAAGAAAACGGACACAACAACTAAAATGCAAACAACTGAAAGGAAACTAAAGGCATAACAACTAAAGACAAACAAAAGCTAAAACGTGTTATGGAACATACTTAAAACACAAATTGAATTAAGGGGATGACAAACCTACACATCAACTAAGAATTACGCAAACTAATGAACTATACTTGTAGACTAAAAATAAACTAGCAGACATACAAGAAAAGCTACATTATAGACAAGATTATTCTCTTGTAGATTAGATAGTGGAAACATAAAAAAGAGATGAAAGTAAATAGGAATATTGAAGTATAAAGAAACATGATTTCATTAACATAACTCAAAAACAATTGTTAAACTCAAATCAACTATAGTATCAAATCTAGAATTTAATATTGATAGATTTGCAAACTGAGTCGATGAAAAAAACCTAAGAAGGCTAACAACATATAACAATTATAATAAAAACATGAGAATAGGTATCTAATAACAAAAACTAAGTCAACTAGAATAAAACTACAAAAGCTAACCAAGAAACCAAGTAAGATCTAGTCTCAAAGCTTTGATTTGGAAATCCTACACAGATTTACCTGTTTTTGGAAATTCTTGTGTTGGGCAAACCTCCAACAAAATAAAAGATTCAAACTAAAGTTATGAACAAGAACAGGTTTTTGAATTGTAATATGGAAATCTATGTTGAAGGCTTGTTGATCAAATCTAAAATTGAAACTGACTTGGAATTGAAATTGCAATGTGCTAGGCATTTTTTTGAGAGGGGCAATCCTGAAGAATTGATTTCTTTTTAAGGAGGTGCTTATAACTTGCTACTAGAGGTTTTTCCCATGTTTTAGGTCCATTTCTCACCACTTTTCTATGAACGTTTGGCTTCTTTTGTATTTTAGGAGCAATAGTTTCCTATATTTACTCCAAGCCTGCCAGTTGTAATTGACCTCTTCAAAAATGCTAATTAACCCTAGCATGATCTCCTTTTAAAATCTCTCTTAATCACCTAATTCAAATAAAATTTAATTAAAGGAAGAAATATGCATCTTATCTTTACCAAGTTGGACCCCACATCCATGCCACCTTCAGTTTTAGATGTGGATTGCACCTAATTAGGTTCTAGTTCAACTGTAACTTGGTGACATGGCGCATCTCAAACCAACCATAGAGCCCCCTAATTGGGCATATGACACTGGCCTACCATAATAACTACGGTTTGAACTATAAGAAAACTAATTTTAGACTAACTATAAAAACTTCTTGATGTAGCAATTTCAAATTAGTTGTTTTTTATGGTGTAAACGAAAAGGGATCCAAATATCAAGTACTACATAATTCATATTGTAAGGTTTTCAAAATCATCTAATCTTCAACAATATGATAATTTTTGAAAAAGATATTTAGTATAAGCTACGCTGGATTGCACAACCATAACCATTGGATAATAATGGCCCTCTAATATTAAGGTCCACCCCTCATCCAATAGTCCCTATTTTATAATTTGATATAATTTAAACTATATAACAAGGCACTTATAATTTTTTATCATTTTTACCACAACATAAAGAGAACATCTGGCACTGTATATTTTCAGAGAGAGCTTGATACCAAGTCCTAGATGGTAACCAAATAAAAGCACGCTTTGGAATCTATATACATGAGAGATTAATATTTATTTTTTACTTTCTTGGATTTCCAACTAAAACTTACAAAGAAGGAAGTAAGCAATCTGGTTTGAATGTTGCAATTCATTTTGGCAAGGGCCGAGGGTTAGGAGCCACATAACATTTTGGTGAGAGCCAGGGGTTAGGAGCCACATAAGTATACCCCTTAAAATGTTCACCTGCCGTAGGTGTCGGGGCTGGTGAATCATCTGGAGGCATTGTTGTCCAGCACCTGTCAAAGTTCGCAGTACAATCCTTTCCACTCACATCTGGTTTGAACTTCGGCTCTATTTCTCTGGCTTCTAATTTCTTCCAATTGATTGACCGAAACCACTTATTATATTTTATTTCATCCCCGCCACTAGGCCCGCTGCCTAATCTTTTTGATGGTTCCTTTTGCAGTAACTGGAAGATTGAAAAGATACTTGGATTGTCTGTAGCTTTTAGTTTGAAAGAATGAAACAGTAAAAGGTGACATGAAAGCGTATATTACCCCTTTGAGCAAAGAGTGGGCTTCACTGCTTAGGTATGGTGGAAGTTTGACTTTCTCTTGGATAATTCGTTGTTGAAGCTTCTGTCTGTTTGCATGGGTGAATGGAGGCTGCAGAACCCAAAAAGGGGGGGAAAAAATACAAATATGGAAGCAAAAAGTGAAGAATTAATAAAATTAAGTGTCACAGTGATGATTTTATAGAAATCCAAAACAAGAGATGCTTTGGCCCTACCAGGGAAAAGGAATTTACAGCAATATAAAGGAAGGAACTACCAAAATTCCAATTTTGCAACTTTATGACATGGTTATTTTCCTGAACTTGTTCATAGATAGAACCTTTGATACAATAAATAAAAGATCCAATAACAAAAAGAAATTTGTCAAAGAGATCAAATTATTGTCAAAATACCTTCATAGCAGATTATTCAAATTCAATCGAATACCTTGCTTGAGCATGTTTCGTCATGCTGATGCATGGGGGTGTGGAACTTACACAAGAACAGTCAACATATACCACAAGCTGGTCTATCAACATATACTAATGATATTCTACTTATAGTTAAACAATTAAACTGAGCTCATTTTTATTTTTGGTGTTCCAAAGCAGAGAATATATGAGAATTCACCAATCAATCAAATCCACACATCTTCATTTTCGGTGATCCCATTTTTATGGAGGATAAGATCTCCATTTTTAACAAAGCGTCAATCTATTAGCATTCGCACTTAATTCTTGTATATTCAAAATCACTAAGTGGCAACAAGCATAAGTTCGTTGAGATGGAAATTCATAAATTCAGTCTGATTGAATTTTATAACATCACTCAAATGATGAAATTTAAAGTCAAGCATCAGTGAACCAGTGGTAGGAGTAGGGACACAATTTTTTTATTTTTTATTTTTTTCTATTTTGATGAAGAACAGGGTTGTTATACCCTTCGTGATGTACATCACCCACACTAAAAAAACAATCTTTGATATTCACAAGTCACAACCTATGAAAATTTGGGTCCTTCAAATCATCTTGCTCTAAAAAATTTGACATAATAAAATTTTCAGTAGTCATATTACCTGCCCAGTGAGCATTTCATACAGGAGTATCCCAACACTCCACCAATCTGCATCCTTGTTATGGCCTTTAGACAGCAAAATTTCTGGAGCCATGTATTCAGTTGTCCCACACATCGAATTTGATCTGTCTAATCCATTCATTTCCTTTGCCAGTCCAAAATCCGTTAGCATAATCTGCATAACATGTAACACATTCAATGTGAAAAACAAAAAATGATTCAAGATTTTCTTGCAACAGAATTGAGTCCATGTGAACAAGGCAATACATGTCCATCCACATCCATGAGAATATTTTCAGGTTTAAGATCCCGATGCATAATCCCGCACTTGTGAAGATGTGAAACAGCAGACACAATCTCAGCGGTATAAAACCTTGCCTGATCTTCACTACTCAAAACAAAGACCAGAGCCATAATCAAAAAAGCTTGAACCTACATGACTACACCATGACATCAAATTTCAGAAGTTGAACCTCATGATACCTGAACATTCCCTGCCGGTAGAGATGAAAGAACAGATGACCGCCATTTATAAAATCCAGAATCAGATAGAGCTTAGACTTAGTCTGTAAATTCCCATGGAAAAGAACAATGAGAACAAACAATCTATGAATTGAAAACCACGACAATAACCAATACCTAATTATGCATAAAACAAACTGTAACATCTATGAATGAAATCGTAATTACACATTACATGGAAAGAGTACCGAAGCTGAACGATGAACGGATGAACAACTTTGGCGAGGATGTCTCTCTCGGCCTTCATGTAACCGACATGATTCTTCTTGATGATTATATCTTTCCTCATCACTTTCATCGCATAAATACCATCACCATCGCCAAGGACGCTTCCTATTTTCTTCCTCACCTGAAACACCTTCCCAAACGCACCTTGTCCGATCACTCTCAGAATCTCAAAATCCTCCGGCCCGATCTTGCTCTTCGACTCGGATTCAGCTTTAGGTTGGGTGTCAGCTTCAACCTCGGGGATTTGGAAAGGAAGAGAGGAGGAGACGGTATAGCGAGGGGACGGGCCCACGAAGGAGTGGGACCTACTGTGGATTACGAGCGGGTCTCCAATAAATGCGGATGGAGAGGGAGAAGGAGAGGAAGATGATGGCGATTGGGTGGTGAAGTGAGGGGTTGAGGGACCGAATACGTCGGAGAAGTCGAAGTCGTGCGCGGCGGCTGCGGTGGTGGCGGTGGCCGTGGAAGAGGGGGGAATGATGGTGAGCCTCTTGAGGTTGGAGGATATAAGAGACTGAAGGTTTTTCTTCTCCGATGACGTAGAATTAAGCATTTTTGCTAGTTAGAAATGGAGGTGGAAGAAGAGAAGAATATCTGGAGAGATAACATTATACTTTCACCTCAGAGATCAAAATCGAAGTAAGTAGCATGACCAGAAGTAGGTAGTTCCTCCGATCCACAAATAGAAAAATATAAAGGCAAAACCCCATCTTAAGTACCCAGGCTTATCCCAATTTAACAAGTAAGCCTCTAAACTACGAATAATGCAAATAAGCCCTTAAACCCCTCAAATGATGTAAATTAACCCTCAAATCTCCTCGAAAGGTAGAAACCAACCTTTATCATTAAAGGCCCCAGTACATGTGACCTCACGAACGCCTTTCCTTTCCGTTCCTTTCCTTTGTCCCACTTTCCCACGTGAATGAAGGACTTCTTAAGCAGAATTTTATTTATTTATTTATTTAGAGTTCTCAAACTGCATGTCCACATTCTTTTTCATGTTAATGAGGACTCATTTAGTCCCTCTGATGCCTTAAAATGACCATAGTAAGTGTATTAATCACTTTAAATAATATAATGATTAATAGAGTATTAAATTTATGAGGATTATGATTAATAAAGTATAAAAAATAATTAACTTTAGATTTATCTAAACAATTAAAAAAGAATAAATTTTAATTAAAAATAATAAAAAATAACAATTTAGAAACAAGAAAACCAAACTACAAGGTGTCAAAACATTTGATTTTAGTATAATCAATTGATAAAAATTTTAAATTATTATACTTTTAAAATGTTTACTACTCTTGTTATAAATAATTAACTTTAGATTTATCTAAACAATTAAAAAAGAATAAATTTTAATTAAAAATAATAAAAAATAACAATTTAGAAACAAGAAAACCAAA